AATTGTTAACATCAAATTTGAAATATTATTGAGGCCTTTGAGAGTTCAATCTAAGTGTAGTAAGACTTAATTTATAGATTCGAAGATTAAATAAAATAATGAAGAGTTTAAATCGAATCACGATTGGTTACACACTATATAATTATTGTCACTTATTACTAAATATCCCATATGTTTACGACTTATTTCATTAGTAATAAATTATTACTAAAAAACGTGTCATTTATGCATAGAATGTATAGTTTTGGATATTATATATAAATTTTTTGCTACCAGTTGATTATGTGATTAAGTTTATTATACTAAAAAAACATTGGGATAAAGGATGGGATTCGAATCCGGTCCAAATTAAATGTGTAACAATTTATGAGCAGTGTTAGTAACCAACATTGCAAGATATTCACCATGTAAGCATTTTGCAAACAAAACATATTATTCTTCCATGCATCGTCGGTAATTAATCACGTACTTACTAAATTAACGATTTTTGTTACCAATTAATTTACAAAATTATTGCGTTCGTCATTTTGTGGGGAATTTCTTCAATTTCGACGTTCTTATATCTAAAATTATATGTCTTCCACTATTCACATTCTTATGTCCCTTGAATCTCCTTTATAATGTAAGCAATTAAATCTCCTTTAAAATAATATTGTAAGCAATTAAATCTCCTTTAAAATAATATTGTAAGCAATTAAATCTCTTGCATTTATTGACTAATTAATATTTTCATCTTTTAACCCTTTGAAAATAATATCTAAATTATTCAACTTGAATTTTAATGAAGAACAAAAATATGGGAGGGATTTAAATTAGTATTAAAACATAAAAATAACATTATAAAGATTAATTAATTAATGCCATATGCAAGCCAAAAATTGTGTCAGGTGGGTGCGATGCCTCTAATCTATTACGAAGTAATATATATGAGGATTAATACTATTTTTTAATCCCAACTTTGGATTATTCCTCAATAATCCCAACTTAAGGTGGGTTATCATTCTTCATACCCAAATTGGTTAACAAAAGTCAACAACCTTCTATTGTAGGTTGTTGGACACGTGTCGCCACGTGAGTGGTCCATTTTTTTTTTAATTTTTTTTTACTGAACCAATTTTTTTTTTAATTTTTTTTAAAAAGAAAAAAACAGAAAAAAAAAATTTAAAAAAGAAAAAAAGAAAAAGGAGTTTGTTTTATTTTTTCTTAATTTATTTATTTTAATTTTTTGACGTAATTAACATATGACATGTGTCGCCACGTGAGTGGTCCATATTATTTTTACCGAATCAATTTTTTTTTAAAAAAGAAAAAAATAGAAAAATTCTCTTTTATTTTTTTTCCTTTCTCTTGATTTTTTTGATTTTATTTTAATTTACTTTTTAAAAAAGAAATAATCAGAATTTTTTTTTTAAAAAAGAAAAAAACAGAAATTCCTTTTATTTTTTTTTCCTTTCTCTTGATTTTTTTGATTTTAATTTACTTTTTTAAAAAGAAATAAACAGAATTTTTTTTTAAAAAAGAAATAAACAGGAAAAAGATTTTTTTTTGTTTTTTTCTTAATTTATTTGATTTTATTTATTAATTTTAATTTTTTTGAAGCAATTAACATGTGACACGTGTCAAATAATTTTTAAATTTTTTTTACCCATTCATCAGGTTACCGGTTTTTGAGATTGAAGAATGATAACCGACCTTAAAGTTGGGATTATTGAGGAATAATCCAAAGTTGGAATTAATAAAAAATAAATTGGTGAAAGTTGGGATTATAAAACAGTATTAATTCTATATATGAATCTTAGATTAATTTACCACTCATATCTAAATTGATGAATAAAATATATAAAAATGTATATTAGACTATTAGAGTGCCATGTTTGGATGGAGGAATGCACCTCCTATGTAATGCTCTTGCTGGATAGAACTCCATTTTAATGAACTGGGTTCTGTCAATACATAAAAAAGTGTGTTTACCAACCAATTTTTTTTTGAAGACACCAACCAAATTAATATTGAGCAATGTTTGAGTTAGAGAATGAGAGTGGTCCATTAAAGGAGGGATGGAGTACATTTTAAAAACAATTTTGAGGTTACCTACATACAAAGAGATATGTAAATTCAGAAGGAAAAAAAAAAAATCAAGTTCACCATGGAAGACAAATTTAAGGAGAGAAAAATATTTTGTTGTTTCATGGAAGACAAATAAACAGTAGAGTTTTTTGTTTTTTCTTATTTAACAAAAAAATAAATTCAGAAATTAAATTTGAGCATTGAAAATGACAAATATTTTGAATTTTAAATATTATAGTATCAGAAATGTCATTTTGAATTCAAATTAAATTCAAAATAAGTGGAATTTGGGGCCCAATTTGACAACTAATAAAAAGAAGTCCATATCAAATACTCCCTCTGTCCCTAATTTTTTGCCCCATTTAACTGTGCACGGTCTCCAAAATGCATATTAAAATGTCTATATCTTTATTTCCATACACGTAAAAATTATAAAAACGTGATATTAATAAAAAATACAATGAGACGAATCTAACAAGACCACTCATGACTACATTATCTTTTATAGATTAACGTTAATTTATGGTCAAAGTTTTCAAAGTTTGACCCCAAAAATGACAATGGGGCAAAAATAAAGGGATAAGGAAGTAATATGTAGCCTTTCTCATAACTAACTCACCTATGGGCTGTTTGCCTGTTTGGTACTCGTATGTGGGATTTTGGGTTGGGAATGGGATTAATAATCCCTAGTCTTCATAAAACGTCCTGATCCATTTTCAATACGCGTTTAAAAACGCAATACATTTTCGAAACGTTTTTGATACGATACGCCGGCGAAAATAGGCGTTTTCCGTGCAACAGAGTGCACAAGCCTGCACCCCTCCCTCCCTCTTTTTATCGTACTCTGAATTCTGAACTTTATTGAAACAACTTTCTCTCCTCCATTGAAACAGCTTCTGAGGTAAAGGTTCTTTTTTATTTTTTATTATATTTTTATTAATCATCGAGCATCAGTTTCTCAATCTACTGTTAATTGTTGATGCTAATTGTTTCTATAATCAATTTAGGGTTCTTCTAAGGTGGATTATTGAACTATTAATGTATAAATGTTGAACTTATGAAAAGATTGTTACAAACGATTTCGTGGCTATAATTTTACTGCTCATGTTCTTAAGGGAGAAGAATTTAACGTAATTTTTTGAGCTTAGTTTGATAATTGAGTCAAATTAGGTTGTTAATGTGTTGCAGGCTCTTGTTTATAACCCTATAATATTAGAGAATTATGGAAATGGAATTTTTCTCCCAGGCCGAAGGTGGCCACCCCTCATGCTCTTGCTCAGGGAGGACCTTTTAACAAATCTTTACTCGTTTTTATTGCAATTAATAACAATTGAGGTGTTGAGGAAGTAGAGTAGAGCTTTAGAATTGCTACCTATTAAGGTTAGACCATTTCAATTTTTTTAATCAACCCTAAATTTAGAACTGCTAGAGGAGTGAAGAGGGTTGAAAATGCTAAAGACCCAATTCATGGAAAATCCTTGGATAGTGGGGAGTTAACTTCGTACCCCCCGTTATGTTAATTGCTATATAAAAATAAAAAATGGGAGAATATTTTTGATTTGATGAAGAAACGATTTTGTGCTCTTGTTTGAAACCTGTACCTGTGGAATTGCGAAATTTGGAGGCTGTTAGGCGGAATTTTAAAGATTGGTTAGTTAGTAGCATCTTTTAATGAATTTATTGAGCTGAAACCCAATGCTTGATCCTAAGGACCTTTAACAATAAAAGGTGGGAATCGTAGGATTCTTATTTCTGAACTGATTGGATTATTATCTTATCTAAAAGGCGTGAATTAAAATTTCTCCTTTTATTCTTGGTTGTCCTGCCTCCTGCGTGATATAATCAGTTAATCACTCCTATCGTTTTGTGTGATTGGATTGAGCCGAAACCCAATGCTTGATGAGAATAATGATTTGTACAAGATTAAATTCAACTGCTAAGTCAATGTGGTATTTAGGGTGGATGGTAGTGTGCAATATTGCTGTAAGAGTATAATATTTGTGATCCACAAATAAATGGGTGTGGAAAGAACAGTTGAATTTGGAAGTAGATTTAAAGCAATAATGTTCTTCATAGTGAATTGAAATTTGTGTAATGTTCACTGGGGCTGCTTACATTGGTCTGTTTACTTGGATGGATGAATTGAGTCAAAGTTCGTTTTAGGGAATAATTTTAAGTAGGACTTGAAGTGACTACACTCATTCCTTGATTGCATTTGACAATGGAGTAAATATAGATCTAGATGTCACTATGTCAGTTTAATGAACATCTGCAGGGACTAGTACTTGGGTGGTGTGAGAAAAAGGAATACACTATTAATTGGGCTGATTGTGCTGTGTACTGTAAGGAGCGCAATCCCTCTTGGTGCTGGCTATTTACATCAAACAAAAAAAAATAAAATAAACCACAGCAAAATGTTCATGTCCAACCTGATTACCGAGTCTCGGACACATGGAAAATTTTCACAAAAGTAGCCGAGTCAGACGCATGGACATGTGTATGTGTCCAACCCTAGCACGAGCCCGATTAACATAGCCCATCTCTCTACACACAACAAATTCTGTACAATTTGATCCTAAGGACCTCTTACAATTAAAGGTAGGATTCTTACATTAACAACATTGACTGCTTATTGTGTTGAATTGGAAGGTGTATTACTTGATTTGGTAAAACTTGCTGAACTCATTGGATTATTATCTTATCTAAAGGGTGTAGATTGAAATTACTCCTGTTAACCTTTGTTGTCCTGTGTGATATAATCAGTTAATCACCCCTACCATTTTGTGTGATATCAGTTTATTACTCTTACCATTTGTCCTGCATGATATTCTTCTTCTTTTTCCATCCAGGTATCTAGTTTGAAACAAAAAGGCAGACAGTTGAAGAAAATCTAACACAGTGAGATAGTATTAGCTCACCTGGACAAACAAAGGATGGCAGCTGTTATGAAAAGATATGTTCTAAAGTTATTTATATCCTTGAAGTACATCACAGCAAATGTAGTAGATAGGAACAATGGGAAGATTGTTGCCACCGCTTCTACAGTTGAGCATGCTCTCAAAAGTTCACTTGAGTGTGGTCGGTCTTGCAATGCAAAGGCAGCAACAGTTGTGGGAGAAGTTTTGGCAAGGCGTTTAAAGGTTGAAGGTCTCGACCATGGACAAGGAAGAGGGATCCATGTAAATATGAATAAGGAGGTGGAGAAAAAAGGCTTTAAAAATCGTACCAAGGTGTGGGCTGTTGTGAACGCACTGAAGGACAATGGTGTTAAGGTCGTACTCGAAGACAGAGATGATGTCTAAGCAAATTGTTAAAGCTACCTATCTGTTTTAGCTGGGTTAGTTTGGAGAATGATATGTCTCCATAGGCTATCCTGTGAGTCCCTCCTTCCCTTTAATTTGACTTTCATTTTATAAATATAGTTGTTCAATATCAGGTGCAGTAATTTTAGCAACTGGAGGGAAAAAAGAATTTAAAATAGGGATCGTAAAGTCATGGAAATTGTTAGCCACCTTGTAGCCAATATACTCTCCTTTGCTTTCTGGTCCCAGCTAGCCAGCCCATAGACGAAAACTAAATCAATCAATCAATCAATCAAAGCCTTAATCTCATAAGTGGGGACGAAAACCAAATAACAGAATGATTTTAGCTTAGGGGTATAACGTTACCCTGTGAAGTCTAAGCAAGGAAATTTATGTCTTCCTGTCCATAGTTCATCTATGCTGAGATAATATCATTTGCGTGGTGTTATTATATGTTGCCTAATACTACCTCCGTTTCATATTTTTTGCAACGTTTGCTAAAAATGGATGCTACACATTATTTGCAACTAATGTTTTCTTTCCTTTTAAGGTTGTCATTTCTCTCTATTTCTCTCCTCATCACATGGATTCCTATTTTTCTCTCTCTATTTTACACTCACAAACAAATTTTGCCTAGGAGTCCGTGCACCCTTCAAAGTTGCAAAAAATGTGAAACAGAGGTAGTAATTTATTTCGTCTGGCTATCAACTTATTTCAAGGTCTTGTTTGTAATTTAGGGGGCGTTTGGTATGGATTTTTTAAGGCATGAAAACGGATTCAAATAACCCACTCCGTTACTGCTTGTTGTTAAAGACCAGAGAGTAACCGTTACCTGGGTGTAACAGTTCCCCCCAATTTGATTCCGCTCTTTGACCCAAGGAAACAAATTCTGTTTCCTCCATTCAACAATGTTAACATCTCTCATTGACTCTATCTTCCAAAGCTCTTAATCACCCAATTTCTCTCTTTCGAATTCGATTTCTCATAATTGGGTCAAATAAAATCACTCAACAACAACTCATCATTCTCACATCTCACCCACCAAAAATAAAAAAAAAAAAAAGAAAAGAAAAAATGAATGAGCTTTTATGTTGATCGATGATGAAGATTGATCTGCCTTTGCGATGATCTGATTTGATGTTGATAATTTTGATTTTTGATGGTTTGCTGATTTCATTCTGGTGTAGTTGTGTTTTTATGATCAATAAAAGAAAAAAGTGATCTAGTCATCTGATTTTTTGATGATCTGATGATTTTGATTATTGAATTAGAGTAATTAATTGGAGTAAGAAAAAAGAGAAAAGAATTTTGAGTAAGTTGAAGCAACAAAGCAGCTTGTGAATTGTGATTAATGTCGCCCACAAATATCTTAATTTTGTTTTCCATTTTTTATGCCAAACAAGAGGAAATGGATTGGTTGTAATCGTTTGTGTTTCCTTAGTAATACCAAATAACTAGTAAGGGTAACACTATATATTACCCTTTCCCCTCCTAATTTGTTTCCATTCCGTTACCTTTACTAAGTTGATACCAAACACCCCCTTAGAATGTAATGTATTAATTTGTAATATGTCATTATTATCAAACTGAAAGTAGATTGCTTATATATGTACACATTGAGACACTATGCATGTTTTTATTTCATGCGAAGTTGTACATGTATACGATTGACTTACTTAACTGTGCCTGCAGTAAGAAGGGGCTGCCCAAACTATCTTAAATATGAAAAAAAAATAAAAAAAATTGAGAGCCTTTTGCCCTTAGATTTTGCAGTGTTAATGCATACACTTTTTTAACATTAGATCTATTATATGTGCAGAGACATGGAATTAGTGTGGCTTTGGCAACTTCATTTAGGATTTTGCCGAATATGCTGATGAAGAAAAGCTGCATTTGTTGGACACCTCCTAAATTGCCATAAAAATTCCAAACTGCCATAATAATTCCAAACTTCTTGGTGCAAGACAGACGATATTGCCTGACTAGTGATAGCCATAATTTCTTCTCACTGTGCGAGTATGATTAGGTTAGATATTACGCAGTTGCTGTAGATAGGAAATTTCTGAAGCATGTTGAACATCATTTTAACGGTTGCTTTATTATGAGTTAGTATTTGAAAATGGATGAATGATTTTGATGCGTAATGAGGTGTATTGTGTATATATACAAAAGAGCGCAGATCATCTGCTTGAAATGGCTACAATGCTAAATTCATTTTCATTCCTGGTTGTCATTATGAATAAAATGAATGACAACATTGATGAAAATTTCAGCCCGCTGTTTTGGCTGCTTCAGATGTTGGCTGCTTCTCCGCTTCCATCAAGTTGGCTGCTCCTCAGCATCCTTTAAATTGGCTGCTTCAGATGCTACTACCCACCAGTACAAAGGACCCCTTTTGTTACATTTTACGCTTTCTCTTTATAGTGCTAACAATCAGTTTTTTTTTTTGGGGGAAAGAAAACAAACTAGCTCATTATTCAACAAAAGGTTCATAGTTACATATGGGGAGATTTCCATCGGACATGTTTTCCCAAACTTGCTCGACACCAAAGGAACTAGTTTAGCGAGATGATGGGCTATTTAGGCTTTTAGCATATATTTTTCGAGCTTGAAGCACATTTTTATCAATTCACTACGAAGTATTTGTTAATTAGCTAATATATTAGACGCTTAATTTTAGTTTTTTTTTTTCAATTGTCCCAATTAAGGAAAAGAAAAATGAATACAATGGTATAAAAATATGAACCAAGTAATAGGGTAACTGCAGCATGTACAAATCAGTGTTGTGAGTCTAGTGACTGAGACGCTCAGACTGAGTTAGGAGAACGAAAATTAATTGGTTTTGGCTTTTTGGGCACCAAAAACCATTTCAAGGTGAATATATGTTTTGTTTGTATTCTCTATTCCCCTGTTTGTCTGCTAGATTGCTACCAATTGTTGTGGCTCCTATTTGGGATTTTTTTTTAATTTTTTATTTATTACTACTATTACTATTTTTTTTAATAGTTTGATTTTTAATCTTGGTCTAATTTTGAACTCACAAACTATTATACGAATTATTTATTTTAAAGTACATAAAGAGTATAAAGAAAATGTAAGTATTCTGTCAAAAAAAATTAAATAAAATAAAAATATATAAGTGTGGGTTCCACCTTAGAAGAAAATGTAAGAGGTAAAAAGTACTCGCACTAAAAACAATTAATTTGGGTTAATTTGAAAAGAGAAAAACAATTAGTTGGAAATGGAAGGAGTAGTTTATAACAAGCTTGTTAGCTTATCCTATAATATAAAGCATTTACAAGTTTATATCTATCTTCCTGTCGTTCATGAAGAAACTAACATGACACCCAAGTGATGCACGGCTTTTAAATCAAAATATTAGTTTTCTCAAAATTATTAATAGTAATGGGATAAGAATATTTAATGAAAATTGCGCTTTGATTGATTGACAAATCTAAATTTAACTTTCAATATTAAACATAATAAGAATGTTATTGTATGATTAATTTAACTATCACCTTCCTAATTCGATGCATAAATATATGAAAATTTCATTATTATTTACAAAACATCCCAAAATTTCATTATTTACAAAACTCGTCAAAGTGTCTTGACTATCCTTCCCAAAAAATGGCCACAAAACCCATCAAACCCGGCCCAAACCCACTACAGCCCACAACTCACATAATTGCGCAGGCATTCGGGTTCTCATCACTGAAGAACCGGGGAGCCTCGAAGATCTCAAGAACCCGACCCGACCCGTCAACGATCCCGACATAACCCGACCCGTCAACAATGTACTTAAGCTCCTTCTTATCACCACCACCTCCGCCACCGCCTCCGCCCCCGCCGCCGCCACCGCCTTCTTTCTTCTCCTTATCCTTCTTATCAACGACGATCTCCACCGTCTTCTTAAGCTTCTTTTGCAGCTCCTCAGCCATCTTCTTCCCCTCTATCCTTCCTGTCACCTTCACCAAGTCCTTTTCCTTCTCAATGCTCACTTCATGCACACCTGTTTTATTCATCAACCAATACAAATAAATGAGAATTGTTAAATATAATCTACTGTAAAAAGTAAAAATAATTGTAAAAAGTTCATGTTCTTGTAGAGTTTGATAATTTTACCACTGTACGATCTAATTGTCTTGTACAATTTGTCACCACAGCCGTCGCAATGGTATGCAACCTTCAACGTCACCGTTATCACTGGCATCTGTCATTCATTAATTCACCAGAAAATATTAATCTAAATTATAAACGAAATTTATTAATTTTTTGAATGAAAATGAAAATTATTTTTGATAATTTCCATTTTAAATGCGGTACAGTACTATTTTCTGAAGCGAATTAATGCAGGTGTGTTTTTTGAAGCACAGAGCAAATTAATAATAAATGTTGTTACTTCCATTAAAGATAATTAAGGAGTGAATGTATTATCAGCATTATCATATTTTACCCAATTCCGTAGCGTTAATGCTGGAATGCACGATAAAATCACAAGTCGATGTTAAATAAATTAAATGTCAAGTATTACTACTTTGGACAGTGGTATATGAATCTGACAAATTCCCAAATAAGTCAAGACTACGTTAAACCCCTAAAGCAAACACTTAACAAATACAGTAAAAATCAACTTTAAAGATTAAGAAAAACAGAGTATGCAACTAATGAGTAATAATATTAAGTCGGAACCCACAAAACAAACGAGTCGATTGGTGTAATTAATGTTCGTTATTCACACTTCCTCTTTTAGCCTCTCAAAGACTCAAACCCAGTCCCTAATTTAATCATTTCTAACCAAATATACCAAGGTAAAATAATCATTCATTCATTTATTCATAATTTCATACCTCTTTGGGTTTTTCATCTTTGTTTTCGCTCTTTTTGTCATTGTTCTTCGAAGGTTGAGGAGAGATGAGTTCAGTCTTCTTCAGAAATTTCTGGCGGAGTTTATCAGTGAGTACAACTGGATCAACTTTGTTTTGGGCCATCACTTTCACCTTGTTCTCCCCTTCAAACTCGACATTTAGAACACCTGCATTTAGAAAACCAATTATTTTCAGATTTTGAACTAATATATTCAATAAATTATAGCATAACGCTTATTTTCTACCTATTTTGACAAATTTCACAACTATTCAGAAATTGTCCAGAAAAAATAAACCAAAAACAGAGGATGAATTACTTTTCCATGTTAGAAATATTTACTCCAGTAAATTTTCACTTAAATTGATTCTCTACTAATTTTATGAGATTTCACAAATAATAGAGATTAAAACAAACGCAATAACCAGGGAAGAAATTTGCAGAATGAAATAAATTTAAACATTTAACTATTTTCTACCTATTTTGTCTAAGTTCACATTTAATGAAAATTCTCTTAAAAATAAACAAAAAGTGATTAAAATCAAATGATTAAGAACGAACTCCTAGAATTTTTATTTATTTACCTTTGTTTTTTTTTTTTTTGTTTGTCATTATCCCAATTTCAAAGATTAAATGAAAACAATTTTCTACCAATTTTATCCTTATTAATAAGCATCGATTATCTCAAAATTCTCAATAACATACCCACAATGTACAAAATTCCAGAGAAAAACAAATTTCCTTAAAAAAAAAAATTGAAAAAAAAGTAGGAAATTTACCAGGAAAATTGAGAAGGAATTTCCGAATCCGTTTCGTGCAACCTTCGCAGTGCAAATCTGTTTGGATTACGATGTTCAGATAAACACCGCAACCGCCACCTCCGCCGCCATTGTCATCCTTCTTCTCTCCTTCTGCACCACCACCACCACCACCACCACCACCACCTCCACCTCCACCTCCTCTGTTTTTTTTCTGTAAATTTCGAAATGAGAAAAAATTGTAAGTCATCAGAAACAACGAAGAGAGAGAAATAGAAAGAGGAGAGAGAAAGAGAAAGAGAAAGAGGAGAGATAAACCTTCGCCATTGATGAGTTGAAGCAGAGCTTGAAAAATTGCAGAGAGAAAATGAGGGGGAGAATGAAAGTGGAAGAGAGAGACGGAAGAGGGTATTTATAAGAGGGGGTGTTTGTTGTAATAATGAGGGTGATATTTTTGTGATTTATTTCTGAATTTGTACTAACAAAATAAAAGAAAAAAAAAGGGAAAAAATTGATTTGCAGTGTACTGTACCGTGGTATGTGGGTTTGTGGTGGTGTAGTAGAGAGCAAAGAGGAGTGTGTTTTGCACACTGCACTGTCATAAATGGGGAGGGAGAGCAGAGGAGAGAGAATTGTACGATATGTGTGTTGTCTGTATTTTTTGGCTAGACTTGACTTGTGCCCCAACTTTTAGGAGGGAATAATAAGGGTACCATGCTATGGCTACATTCGGAATCGAGTCTGGTGGGTGAGTCCGTGATTGGGCTCGAGCTTAGTCCAGACCCTCCTTAAATGGTACCAAGCCTTTTATGTCATAACTTTTGACCAACCTCATATTAATTTCTTAGATTTATTTCTTCTTTAACTTTTATATGTAGTATGGAAACTAATACGAATTGTTTATTAATAATAACATGAGTAACACACTAGTTTGGGATGATTATTGATTCATTGCTACATAATTGATTATGCACATACTATGGGAAGTATGGAGTAAAAATGAGCTACTGTATTATATAGAGTAACATTGTACTTTAATTATTTGTAAAAATTCATGAGTTTTTTTTTTTTTTTTTTCCAATTGAGCTGGTAATATGTGACTTAAACTTTGACACATAATTGTATAAAGGAACTAATCGATCTGAACTTTAGCTTGTATAATTTTTGATATTATTGGTGAGCTTAAAATAAAAAATAATTAAACAAGTTTTGTTTACTACAAATTGTCCATTCCTGTATTTAGTTGGATTTTGCTAATGTAATGATGAAACTAAGATTGAAGATAAGCACTAGATCTTTGGAGGTTAATTGTACATATGAACCATGCGATATACCTACGAATTCTCGTATAGATTTTCAAATTTTTTGTGTCATTATTTAAATTATTTAATCTACTTTCTAAAACATAATATTGGGTGCAGGGGAACTAGTCTAGCTTTTGGTAGAATCAAGTATACAAGTAGCTTAGTCAAGTATATAGGAAAATGATCGATAATAAGAAATGGTAATGAAACCAATACTCTATATGATTCTATAAAAACCCAATTTATTTCTACTATTATAGAGGATTTGGCTTGCTCGATCTATGACTAATATAAAGTTGTGTTGCTGAAACATAAACATGAGATGAACTATTAGATTTTAAGTGAAATGAACCAATACAAATATCTAATACGCACCATTTGTTATATTATGTATATTCTTTGTTTTTGAAAATTTGTAATACTTAAAAAGTGACACATGTAATATAAGAAATGAAGAGTGAAAAAAATCACTTATTTTGAATTACTCATTTATCCTTATATAGTTATATTCCCACTCCCACCCGCTTTATGGATGGTATTTTATTTTTGGTATTTTTGGAATTACTCATATGCAAGTGTTCCAATTTAAGAAAATAGAGGAGGTGTGTTTCAATAAAAATATACTTTACATGATTTTATTAAATCAAACTCAAATTTGTTTCTTTTAATTTAACAACGACATTGAGGATTATATATAATTACTCTATGTAAAGATTATTGAATAACATAGAATCCAACTTGTTCAGATTATGACGTATATAAAATTGTGATGTTTAAACATAAACATGAGATGAACTTTTTACAACCTAATGCGCGCTATACACCCAATAATATACGGGATTTGTTAAACATCGCCCACAAATTACTACATAAAGCCCACAAAATATACTTGGTTTGACAATTTTGCCCATTTGTGAAATGTTACCAAAAACGAAAAATTATGACATCGAAAAATCAAATTAAAAAGGACACTTGGTTTGACAGTTTTGGCCATTTGTGAAATCTACCAAAAACGGAAAATTATGACATCGAAAAATCGAATTGAAAAAGACACTTCGTTTGACACTTTTGGCCATTTGTGAGATCTTACCAAAAACAGAAAATTCTGACATCGAAAAATGTGGAGCCGTACTGGGTCCCCACGGAAGACCGGAGAGCCGAGGGATGCCGAAGAGCCGTCGTTGCAGCAAAACGAGGTAAATCAACATGGACCACCACCGTCGGGGTTGGGGCGCCTGGCCTGGAAGCCGGTGCCATGGCGATGGCGCTTGGCTAGGACGCCGGCACCGTGGCAGTGGCGCCTGGCCAGGACGCCGGAACCGTGGTGGTGGCTTCCAGGCTAGGCGCCACTCCCACCGTGCCGGCGTCCTGGCCAGGCGCCACTGCCATGGTGGTGGTGGTCCAGCGAGGCGCCACTGCCTTAATATTTTTTTTTTTAATTTTTTTGTTTTTTTTGTTTTTGTTTATAAATTTGATAAATTGAAATTGTTAAAAAAAAAAGAAAATATTTTATTTGAAATTATGTTTTAAATATTTGTTAATAAATTTATATTATAATTTTGTATGTGGAAATTAGATTTTTAATTTGTTTGTTTTTTTTATTTAATAAATTTGATATCCCTAAATTTAAATTGTAAAAAAAAAAATGTATAACTTGAAATTATGTTTTACATATTTGCTAATAAATTTATTTTATAATTTTGTATGTGGAAATTAGATTTGTGTTAATAATTTACAAAAAAATTAATTATGTTTTTGTGTATGAATACTTTTAAACATAATTATGTTTTAATTTTGTATGTGTATGAATACTTTTATAAACGATTATGTTTTAATTTTGTATGTGTATGAATACTTTTATAAATGGTTATGTTTTAATTTTGTATGTGTATGAATACTTTTATAAATGATTATGTTTTAATTTTGTATGTGTATGAACACTGTTATACATAATTATGTTTTGAATTTTGTGTTAATTTACGCTTTACATAATTATATGTATTTAAATATAATATGTAATTGATGCAGGATTATGGTGGAGACGGAAATGATTACAGTGGGATATTTGTACATGATGGTCCCTTCGAAGATGCTCAACAAGCGATTGATTGGGCTAAACAGGTTGCAATTACTTCTGGTTTTTGCTTGGTAGTAACAAGTCATAAATCTCAACGGGATGGTAGAATTATCGCATTTTGAGATGCGACCGTTATCGCAAAAGAGAAGAAAGAGATTTCAGTACAGCCACTCAGTTTGATACAAAGCGGAAAGGTTGTGGGTGTGAGTTCAGAGTAAAGGTTCGGCAACTAGAGAGTCGTGAAGGTTGGGAAGTGAAGGGTTACTCCAAATGGGGGTATCACAACCATGAGATTATAGTATATGAAGTGGGTCATCGACAGTTGAGCGGCTTAAGTCCTGCTGCAAAACTGGTTGTCAAAGAAATGAGTGATGCTCAAGTGAAGCCTACTAAAATATTAGCATCTGTGCTAGAGAAATTTCCTGAAGACCAGCCAAATTGAAGACACATCTACAACGTTAGACAGCAACTGAGGTTTGAACGGTCAGAGGGAAGGAACCCTATACAACAGCTTCTACACCAGGCACAATCACGTGGTTACCTGTTCTGGTATGATTCTGATGAAGATACAGCGGAGGTGACTCTTTTATTCCTTGTGCATCCTAATTGTGCTGATATGATCAAGTCTTGGCCATCTGTCATTTTGATCGATTCAACGTACAAGACAAATAAGTACAGGTTCCCACTGGTTGAGATGATTGGGATGACTCCAACGAACCAGAACTTTCTGATTGGTCATGCAATCATCAAGGATGAGACGGCTGCGAGTTATTACTAGGTCTTGGAGAAGCTGAGAAACTACATCAACCCTAATGTTCAGCCATCAGCCATCGTCAGTGATTGTGAGGGAGGTCTCTTTGCCCCCATAGCAAAGCTGTTTCCACAATCGAAGCACTTGTTGTGCACATGGCACATCAATAACTGTGTGAAAGTGAAAGCCTACAACCTTTTCAACAAGAATTTGGAAATGGCAGAGAGATTGGTGAATGGTAAGTGGCGGAAGATCCTACAAGCTACCACAGAGGCAGTGTACGATCGAGCATTGGCTAACTTCAGGGATTCGTACCAATGGTGTTCGGCAGTGGTGAACTATGTGATGCAGCAGTGGGTACCTCACATGGAAAAGTTTGTCAAATATTGGACAAACCAAGTACTTCATTTTGGAAACACTACAACTTGCAGAGTTGAGAGTGCTCATAGAGCTACTAAGGACTGGACTGATTCTTCCACCGCTGCTTTGGATACACTGTTCGAGAGAATAAATAAGGCAATTGAAACTCAGAAGAACGACATCAGGAACTCTCTGGAGGACTCTAGGAGGCGACATGGTACGATGTATAGCCATTTCATATTTAAGATTCTACATGGGCGTGTGTCACACTACTGCTTGGGGTTGATTCTGGCCGAGCACAACAGGATGAGGGAGTTGGCGGATGAAGTTGATGTTCGGTGTGGATGTGCTATATCAGTAACTCATGGATTACCTTGCGTATGCACCATTCACCGCGTAATTACCTAAGATAGGATGTCGTTACACGTTGATCAGGTTCATCCATTCTGGCGGACGCTCGTTATTGGTGAGCATGCAGATACGCAGATGGTCGACCGCGAATAGGAGGAGTTGGAGCAGTTTTGTTCGATGTACGACCGAGTATCCTCCAGTCATCCTTCCATTATTCGTGATGCTACTCACGTACTGCATGACATGTTCAACACGTCCTGCTTAGATCACGAGGAACCTGAAGGGGTCGAGCGACGTAGAGGTCATCAACGGCGGAACATGAGTGCGTTTGAGTACATTCGTGGTCGTGGTCGTGGTCGTACATCGTCATCCAGTCGTAGCCGGTCTTCTTCGTCTGTGAATATGCCCGGCATTGGTACAATAGCTTACTTTAATTTACGTTTTATAATGGTTTTGATTTTACTGCTGACTTGTTCACTGTGTTTAATGATATGTTCAATAGGAAGATTTGATATTGACCAGTTTCCATACAAGGATAGGATACCTAACATCATCATGTCATACTTGTACGGCTGGAATGATGTAGTTGGAGATGGTAACTGCGGATTCCGGGTCGTGGCAGATGTGTTTCAGATGGGTGAAGACAACTACGGTTTAGTGCGTCAGTTGATGTACAGTGAAATTGCCTCTAACTGAGATGTTTATCGTCATGTGTACCAGGACGGCTTGGATAGTGCTCTGCGGCGTATCCGGTGGGGAGGAGGACCTTGCGGTCTAAATCATTATTTCGACGCGCCACTAGATCTCTTTGCCGTTGCAAACATTTACAAGTGTGCAGTAATGCATTTCGGGCTGGGATTGCATAGTCGAGCTTATTATCCTTGTACAACGGTTCTCCCTTGGTCATCGCGTGAGACTGTCACTACACCGGTCAGGGAGTTAGCTATTGCATTTCTTGGGTCGTCATACAAAAATTTCATCCGGCTGGACCTGTCATCCTATTTTCCTGTCCCACCGATCATACCTCGGTGGTACGACATTCGCACAGCAAGCGTAGAGGGTTGGGATGCGCTGTATCATGACCAGATCCATCAATGGAACACCCTAGCAGCTTTTTAGTTTTTCTTTTGTACACTATTTCTGTGTAACCTTATTTTTCATGATGTTAAAACCTAAAACGATAATTTCAAATGTTAGAACCTAAAACGATAATTTCAAATGTTAGAACCTAAAACGATAATTTCATTTGTTAGAAACTAAAACGATAATTTCAAATGTTAGAAACTAAAACGATAATATCTTGATGTTAGAACCTAAAACGATAATTTCAAATGTTAGAACCTAAAAGGATAGTTTCAAATGTTAGAACCTAAACGATAATTTCAAATGTTAAAACCTAAAACGATAATTTCAAATGTTAGAACCTAAAACGATAATTTCATTTGTTAGAAACTAAAATGATAATTTTAAATGGTCATGACTAAAACGATAATTTCAAATGTTAAAAAC